GTATATTTTATCGGTAAATAATTTTGTGTAGAAAGATAAACATTGACGTCTTCGAACTGAAATATCTGTTTACGCTGAATCAAATACTGTATTTACAGATTAAAATATTAAAAAAAAACAAACAAACTTAGTGATCAGAAATGAATAATGTTTATTTAAATAATTGACATCTCTAAGATTAGCTAAATATTAATAAGTTACTACTATAAATTCATATATTAATTTATTCTCCTACAAAACTTGGGAGTCATTAGTTTAAACAAAATTGATTTAATTTTCAAGAATATGAATTTTTACAAAAATAAAATTGAACGATTTCTATATTTAAAAATTAGATTACACAAAAAAAGTAAATGATATTAAGGATTTGTATTCTTAAAAAAAATAAAACATAAAAATTAGATTTTTTCAAGTCTAAAGTCGTTTGAATTTTAGTCTGGAACCGTAATCCTTCGATCAGTAAAAATTTGCAGAGTTTAGTAATTTAATCAAAACCATTTTCAACCTTTGTATTTTAACATCCAAAACTTTCCAGAATCAGATAATATGATAGAATCTCTTAAACACGAACAATATTGGAGTCATTTTTTGGAACATGGAAGATTTTTAAGAGGTGATAGAATATGAAGTGCACACTTCAGTCTAGCATGCTATACATTATTCATAAATTTTTCCTATACAGTTCTTTCATTGAATGTAAAATTATTGATTTGAATATCTTTGTTACGAATCGTTTTTCCTCTTTTTTTTATCGATTGGAATCACACGTTATCGATCAAATTTTAAGATTTTAACATCAACTTATTCGAAATTTAAGAAATAAACTTCTTATATATTTCTGTATTCCTATTATTTAAACAAATATAAAGATATTTGAATGTAATATGAAGCTTTAGATTATTATTTAATATTCTTCTAATTAGTCTTTAATTAATTTACGTTTAATTTAATGAATAAATCTAAATCAGGAATAATAATAATAATAATAATAGTTTATAAATTCACTTATTTTTTTTTAAACTGAAACTCAAAATAAACAGTTACAACAACTTGTATAATACTAAAAAGTCACTAATAGAAATTACAACTTTTTTACAATTTCTGTATTCAATTACACTCGTAGTTACGAATTTGGATTGCAAAGAAAAGCAGCTTAACTTAAAGGTATTTTAAACCGTTATTTTAGCTTTAAAGTTTTTCAAATAGCTTACTGGCTAGCAGCTATCATTGTGTAATGAATAAAACCACGTTACGAGACTCCATTTAATGTTAACTGGTATACCGATGTTTTTAAGAGAGTACAACCAATAATCATATATTTCGTATTTAGAAATACAATGCCTAAGGGAAAAAAAGGATGTAGTAAACCGTTCTTAGCGTGACCCCGTTATCGACCCTTTGGAACCATCTACCTTTTCTACATTCTTTCGACGCAATTCCGGGATTTCTTTCGTTTTGTTGCCTGATCTAAGAGGAGAAATGCTTTCCCAGTTATCAACGAACAGTAGAAAAAAAGTCAATTTGTTGAATTTCTACAGAAATCGAGATAAACAATCTTACAAAATTTTCAAAACTGAATAGATAAATCAACTTTCTGTAAAATTTTCTAACCGTAATTTATTTATAGGACAACCGACAGTACCTTCTACTCAATTAAAGAATGAACGCTTTGAAAAGATAAAAATAACTTGATGCACAGAAACATTTCTTTTCTCAAGAGTGCTCGTTAAATGATGTAATTATTATTATTTTTTCCCTCTTAAAAAGTCAAAACTTAACAAAATTAATAATTTGATAATTCTTATTATTTTTTTTCTTTGTTCTTTATTCTTTTAAATGATTATTTATTCGTTGAGGAAGTGCAATTCGTTAACCAAGAGTCTACCAAATATGTAAATTTTTATCAACACTACACTTAAATAAGAATCATAAGAGACGTAAGTGGTTTCGAGCTTTCGCATTGGTGGTTTGCAAAATAATCACAAAGTATTGTTTATTTATTGAATTTTAACTCTTTTACATTATTTAAATATTCTGAATTTAAAAAAATAAAAAAAGCATAAATTAATTATATATTATAAATAATACGAATATTAATTTATACAAAATTAGCTTTTTATAACTACATTTTAAATGTTTTATAACTAAATTATCATTCTTAACCATCAATAAAATTATGATAAAGAACAACTCTTTAAATAATTATATTCCAGATGTTATCATCGTAACTTTCGTAATAGTCAATCTCTCATAAACCATCAAATATGCTTAATTCATTAATCTTTATAACGTAAGACAAATCGTGTATTATATTCAAGCAATTTATCTTGCACTTTTTGCAGTCTTTCACAATTTATCCTTACTTCTATTTAACGCTATTTGTCATAAATTTAACATCCATTACAAGTATAAAAGTTTTTATATATTAAAAACATTTCAAAAAATGTAAATTTTCACCCTTCTTACCATACAAACTCCAATTATGATAGGAATAAATAGTATATACAAATATTATGCTGTTTACTCTCTGTTTACGCTTCAAATAAAAAATCATATTTTTTCTGATGTATGGAAGATATTTATATAACGATAGGTTACACGAAAGATAAATTGTTTTACTAATAAAGTTTTCATATAAAAAGTATGATTTAAATACTTTAATATCCTAATTATTAAGTGAATGACTCCACGGTATTAAATTTACGACTCATTTTATTGCGTTTAATATCAATTAATCAATAAAATAACTCAACTAATCTAATAAAAATATGATTAATATGATTAAAATTTGATTTAAAAAATAAAAAAAGCACGAACAACTCGGTTTTAAAATAATAGAATATACTCATTATTAAATCCATATTTTAAAACCGAATTTATTTAATGTTACGAACATTGATTTATATTAAAATCAAATTATTCTTCTAATTAATTTATGGGATCGATTTGAATCGTTTCGGCAATTGCATCCATCTAAGAAAACAGCAAAAATTAAGTGTAAATTTAATTATAAAACATAAACATTTACTTAATTAATATACAAAATATGGGCTAAAGTTAATTAATACGTCAACAAAGTAAAAACGATGAATAAAATAAATCCTATCGATTATTCTTGTTTCTCTTCTTTGTAGAATATAAAAGACTAAAAATTAAATGAGAATTATTTCGACTATCAAAAGTTTTTGGCTAATAAATCCAATAAAGGCTATTAAATTGTCACCTTTAATACTTCTGAGACATGATCTATAAAGGGAAAATGTAACAATGTATCAAGGGCAATAACAATCTTTTTTCTATCCCCTTAATCAAACTTAGAAGTTGTGAATCAAAAATTAAGAAATCCCGTTAACGACATAACGACCTCCGACAGAAAATCAGTCAAGCAAAGATTTCTACGGTTNGTAGAATACAGTAATACCTCGACTTACGCGAACCCGGAGTTACGCGATTTTCAAATCTCGTCAATTCGTCTTTTGTTTGAGCGCCACGCAACTCTTGATTACTCACTCCCCCCACACTATTGTTCAGCTTACATGTTCGGATGTGTCCCAAGGAATCGACACATAGCTACAATTTATTTTGTGTTATTTATTTCTGTATTTGTTATATCTACAGAGCCTTGAGAGAGACTATGTAACTGTGAACGAATCAAAAGACGAGATAAGATTAACGAGAGCATTTATTAGCTTACATACATCCGACTTGAATTTTACACGAATTTTGAAATTATACCCCAACTTACGCGAATTCGATTTACACGGTTATAATAACTCACTTTAAAGACTCTTATAGTCTCATTCATTTTCAAAGCAAGGAAGCTTCATCACCATAAGCAAAACTGAACAGTGTGTGTGTGTGTACACTGTATACAGTCTTATTTAAAATAAATAAAATAAGCATTTACATTTCATAACTTAACTGATTTTTGTTTTAAAATAAAAAATAATAATGAAATTTTAGACAATTTCCTGATTTTCCTGGGAATAAAAATTCCAAGCTGATTTTGCTGTTGATATAAATATACTTGATATTGTTTTTTACACTCTGCATTATATAAACTTTATGTCAGTATTACTTTTGTGTCTATCAACCCTGTACGTAATTTTAACATTTCTTAAGAATGATGATGATATTTAATTTTAATCGTTTCAAGGAATACAATATTAAAAACAACAAAATGGGCTTATACATAAGTACTTTATTTACAAAAAAATCATTGAATGCTCCACTAGGCTATGAAGTACTTTAAGTTTTGTTTGTAGTTTAAATACAGTAGAACCTCGATTATCCGGATTTTCGATTATCCGGATTGTTCAAAATAAACAAAAATTTTACGAATTTGCTGATTTGCACTTGGCGAATTACGACACTGTTTATGTACGTGATGGAATGCATAACATTTTTGTTTCAACAAGTCTCACCCGGCACAGTGGTCGTAAACTCTTAAATATATTTTGCGTCGTAATAAAAATATAACTTGACATACGTATTTATAAATAAGTTATATTCAAATTACATCATTTCTATGACCAAGGGCGGCGTAAGGCATGGGCAACTTGGGCTACCACCTATGCCTCGCGGTCCGAAGGGCCTCGCGCCTCAAAGGTTTATGCATTACTTAAAAGCCGAGAACGCAACAAAAAAATTTTACTCNCAAAATTTAATTCTGGTCAAAACTCGGGTGTTTCTTATTCGGTACGGTACCATCTGCGCTTTACTTTTCTACGACAGATGGCCTATTCACACAAAGACGTTCGGGCCGACTTTCCCTTCACTTGTTGATGCATAAGTTTACTACGGAAAGGTCAACGCTCACAAACAGTTGTAACACAGTTAATTATAGAAACAAACAACCTTCGCCGTTATATACGCCGTCTTCTCTCTCCGTCTAATTCTCTTTAAAGCTACATAATCCGGTAATATCGCGTTTCGTCGTTTCTCGGAATGAAAGCCAATCGCGTTTTTTTTTTCTTTATATTTAAAACAACAACACTTACCTGGTTTTCCGAACGCAGAACCTTAAGTTGGTCATTAATTAGAGAATATTTGGCCGCTTCTTCCTTCCTTAAAGCTCGTTCTTTCTTCAATTCTGGACTCCAAAATGTTTTAATACTATGCATACTGGATCCTAGTTTTTGTGTGGTTGCATCAAGTTCCCTTTTAACACTACCGTACTGACTTTGTATCTCCGCTAACCGAGATTGCAGTTCCATGACAAAACCATCCCTACTGTAATTACCACCGTGGCGACTGTCCGTGTTATAAGCCGCTGTTGAACTGTGACCTCTTCTCGATACGTGACCTCCTTCGCGATAAGGATCACTTTCCATGACTGGATCGACGTCTCTATAGCCCATGTGGTCTCTATCGTCCCTCTCTCGATATCCTCGATCCAACGAACGTTCGCGAGTTCTCGAATGTCTTGTGCTGACATCTGCACGGTCCAGGGAACGTTCCCTCGGCTCGCGAATTGGAATGAATTCTCTATCCTGGTCTCTTTCCAACGAGTGATAGCTTCTCATAGTGCCTCGAGTAGCGGACCTACTGCGGTGGGTGCCACCACCTCCCGTACCGCCACTCCTGCTATCCATTACTGGACTACCTGCTTCGTCGCCGTAGTAGCTATGCCCAACGTTGAATGCGCTGCTGCTGATTGAGTGAGGAACGTGAGGTTCCGCTGGTAGGGTCAGTGGGCTGGTATTACTCGATCGACTAGCACCGTAATGGCGGCTTTTGCGCGTCTGCGAGGGTGACGAAGTGGTTCTAAACGCGCTCGTTCCCTGACTACCACGCACACTTGCGGACTGGGAGCCTGTACTGTACTGTTTAGAACCTCCACTGGTTTCCGATCTTCTCGCCGGTTTCGGCGATCGTTGTTCCTGATTGTACATTTCCCGCGGCATCTTCTAGCGTTGTATTTGGCATGTAGAACACCTTAGGTATAAAAACGACTAAATCACACATCAAACCGAACATGAAACGTCCCGCGATGTCTAATATGTTCTTCCGACGATTACTGGAGAAATCAGTGAAGCGTTTACATGCCAACTGCTTCGTTCTTCCCACCCCATTCGTACAGACCCACCAGCCGAACATGGGAGCTACAGCCAGACGCTACAGTCAATGGATGCTAGGGAGATGCGATGCGTCAACGGAATAAATAAACCACTTTTTTTTAAATTTGTTCCATTCTAACAAAATAACCTTTTGTTATCGTATAAAAAATTATACCAGTCATTATTACGTCGAAAATGATTTATTTGCAAACGTTTTATAAAATGCTTCATCCTACACACAAGGAGAGTTGTATCTCATTTTCTCTCCTAAGCCCTTTTATTTCATTGGTTGATTGAGCACTACAGCACAGCACCTCCTTTAAAGCTGTAGATATCGAGTAGAATATATATTATTCGAAATAACTATTTTCTTTTTTAAAATACATAAAAAGTATATTTAAAAAACGTAATAAAAAAGTATATATTTATAATTAAAACAGTAAATATTTTAAATATTATTTCGATTCGAACTTCTCGTTCTAAGTGACATGTCTCATAGAGATATTGACAGTTTGAATTTATAATACTGTACGTCGATTTAATTTATTCGCCGATTATAATTCCTTTCTTTCCTATTTGTCTACTTTTTTCCTCGGTTCTCTTTATATAAACTTCACATTTAAACGAATTGACGTAGGCTCATCTGATTGTAAACACCGTTTTCTAATCACCGGTGCGTGTGATTTATCATCTAAAGACGAAATAAAAAATTTATTTTTCCAAAAATATATTTAGAAAGCAGCACCAAAAGCTTCTAATGTCTTAATCGAAAACACATGAAAGTTTTGAACTAACAATTTGAGGAAAAACAAAGTTGTTTACCAATTATCTTCAATAAAACACTGTCAACAAATTAAATTTCTTCATTAAGCATGTAAACGAGTAACCTAATTTTACAAAAAATGGCTTTATATCTCGACGTATAATAAATATTAAATTTTATAATAAATTCTCGGGGGAAAGCAAATGGGAGAATGTTTCATATCTTTGCAGATAGTGAAAACCGTTAGGAATTTCGAAAAACAAATTTTCTGCAACAGTTGAGAAAGGAATTTACGCGATAAAACTATTTCTAAGTGCATTTTTTTACTAGTTTTCTTATAACTTTAAAATATATGTAAAATGTAATTTCAAAAGGAATTTTCTAAATTTAACAATTGCACGTCTGTATTTTCAATTACAGTATTTAGAAATACGTAAGATGCTGCCATCTGTAGAATTTCTATAGAAATACATTCCATAAAAAGTTATTATGCCATTTTTAATTTACAAAATAAAACGCATAATCTAACTTTTTCTAATAATTTATTTACTGAAATAGTTTTTCTGTTATCGCCAAGAAAATCAAAATAAAAAAATAAATTTTCCTTATTATTCTGGTCACATTTTACACATTACTAATCGCAATATCGGATTTCTTCTTTCGCTTCACAATTTTATAAGTGTACTCACCTTCGAGTAATTCAAAATTAATTAAACTATCGATTGTTTATATATAAAGTTCTAAATTTAACATCGATTTATAATTAAAAATTACTTGATATTTTTCAAAATACGTGATTAGGTGTTGATGTTATATCAAGAAAATAAAAGAGCCGTAAACAAATAAGTTCGAAAAATATTTTATTTTCCAAATGCCTGTGGATGTTCTTCGATTTTCTTTTACCAATATTAAATCATATAGACGTATATATAATATAACGTATATATGTATATCGGGGACACAAATCATAGGATATGAATCGCACCAAAAATTTTGTCTGCATGTTTATTATTAAAATATAATCGCGATTTATTTAAACCGAAATAATGTAAAAAATTTCAAAATAAATTTTAAGTTTTAAAGTGTAAAATCATATATGATAGATTCAATAAAAGCGTGAACTAGATAAGATAAATAAGAAATAATTAATTTTAAATTGAAGTTGATGTAAAATGTTGCCATCGGGAGTTATGCGGGTGGCCGAATCTTGTTAGCATTGTTGTTAATATTTATATATATCACGATTGAAAATTGCCAGAGAGAATATAAAGACGTTGTACATCACAAAAGGTCTTCGGAACACGCAGAATTTTCCAAATAAAAAATGTCGTTGTCAAAATTTGAATTTTATGTATGCAATGCGGGATATTCAGTCAAAATTCAAATCGAATTTTTTCATTTATATGCGTTTTTTTTATTATTATTTTTTTAAAACTACAAAAGAGTATTGTAAAAAATTTTAAACGATTGAACATATAGGCCTAACAATAGTAACAGAAAATACTTTAAGTAAAAAGTTAACTGTTTAGTCATATATTTTACGTGCTTGAAAAGACAATATGCATACTACTTAAAACGAATGGAAGAATATTTGCCTTTTTTCTACATTTATAAATTATGTTTTTAATCTTACATTTTAAAAATTGGTACATTAAAATGTAACAAGTTAAAAACTAGTTTTTAAGGCGATTCATTAAAGAAATTTTTACTTTAGATTTTAATACTTTTCTTATTAAAGTTTAAAGCTAATTAATTGTACAACAGTAGCACACTTCAAATTATACGAATTTAAAGCATTTGTTCCAAAGATTATAGAAGTAAATAAAATTGATATATCGATTAGATTACATACACTTTCTTAATGTAATTCATTCTACTGTTAATTCTTGTGTCAATGTTTTGTATTTCTGAAAAATTCACTTCATGTAAAAAAGGTTCCATCACAAATGGAAAAAAAAAACAATTTATTGTTTCATTATTTTACTTAGTATTTATGTAATTTTCCATCTAATCCAGTATTTTTAACCAAATTTTTTCACTCACTCAAAACGTGATTAAGTAATAGAAAAAAATTTATATATTATTAATTTATTTAAGAACTGAATATATATGTCCAGGGTATTATGATTTTGTATTGTATTAATATATGTGATTTTTAATCAGATGTAGTGTTCAAATATTTTAAAAACATTTTGAAAATTTTATTTGATGCTTAAAGAACATTTTAAATTGATTTGGCAAAGTTTTATATCTCAAAACAACACTGACAAATGAAACAAACATTTGTTAATATACAGCATTAAAAGGTTAATTAGATCATAAACATGACTATTTTCTTTCTTTCTCCTCTACCATATATTGTAAGCTTCAAAATACTCGGATATTACAAAAATTGAAATGATACTTTATGTCCATCTATTTTCCGTTTACATAGTTTTGATGAATATGTTCTTAATAATTATTAGTGCACATTTGATTTCCATTTTTTAAAACTAAAGTTAAAATATATATTCTGATACCAATATAAAAGATAAAAATAAAAAAAATAATAATAAATAAATAAATTTATTTATTATTATTTTTTTATCTTTTAAAAATAGTTAGTCAAAGATAGTTAAAAATAGCATTTATAATTTAAAAAATTGCATTTCAATTAAAATAACTACTTACTTTTTAACCTCATGCATTTCTACTTATTTACGACCAGACACTGGTCAAAACTTATAAAAAATAACTGATAATCTTTTTTACTGTAAATTTTAAATTTTATGATTTTACTCNTGTTTCATAAAAACGCAAAAAAATAAGTGTATGTTTCATAAAAAAGCAAAAAATGAAATGTCTGTTTCATGAAAACGCAAAAAATTAAATGTCTGTTTCATAAAAACGCAAAAAATGAAATGTCTGCTTCATAAAAAAATAATTTAATTGACATTTAAAACAAAAATACTTAAAAACTGAAAATACTGTTATAACAATTTTTTGAGCAGTTTTAATTATGTTAAAAAACACACTAATGTTAATTATATTGCTATTCATTGCATCAACTTTGATAATTAAATCAATATTTAAAACATGTATTTTCTAAATTAAAGTTCAAAATTTTTAAGGTTTTTCAAACAAGACCTTTTTTCATTGTGTCTACTCTAAAATATCAATATATGCTCTTATTTTTCATGCACACATTTCTGCTTTAAAGAAATGTCTAGTTTGATTTCCCTCCATCAAAAACACTTAAGTGGAAAAATTTTTGTTTAAGTTTTAAAATACTTCATTTATACCTATAACCAGACACTTAAATATCAACAATAATAAAATTTGAAACTATTTCCAAAACATTAAATATGCACATTGTAATTATACACAAATCTCTCTTGTAAACATTTTTAACAGAAATATTAAATTCATTTTCGTAATCTTATTATTTTCTCAATCTATTTTTCAATCTTAAATTTTGACTGAAATTAGATTATTTCATATTCACAATTTATTTTTGTGTAATTTTTCATTTATACACTATTATAAATTCATCAATGGAATATAAGTTTAAGAAAAAAATCTCATCAATTTCATCATCATTGAATTTTAATCTTTAACTTTTATCAGCAACTTGATTAAATTTATTCTTAAAGTATTAATCAATTATTACTTTAAAATTATTAATTATAAATACTTTTTAACCTCATGCATTTCTACTTATTTACGACCAGACACTGGTCAAAACTTATAAAAAATAACTGATAATCTTTTTTACTGTAAATTTTAAATTTTATGATTTTACTCCATACCAAAATAAACAAACTGGCATGTATGAGATTGGACAAACATTATAATGTATTTCACCAAATTCACACATTATTAATTAACTTTCTAAGTTTGTTGCAAAAAAACAATGCAAGTGGAAATAGAATTAATTATATGATACCAATTTTATATTTCTTATTTTTATGCTTTTGTAAAGTAGATATAGTTATAAATGTGGTAAACAAAAATTCAACTAGTTTTGTAAATTACATTGTAAAAAAAAGTCAGTTTCTTTTTCTCCTTGTTCAAGTACAGAAATGAAAATTTCTTTCATTTTATATAAATGAAGATTTTTTGATGATATTCATAATAGTTTGTAAGTCTTTTAAGAAAATTATGGATCAATAAAACCTCTTATCTAGTCACATTTCACCATTCATTAAAAAAAATATGGATGTCAGAATAACATTTCAGCTATCCAGTTTTATGACATTCATTTTCTTCTGCAGTTTCTCAATAAAACTGAAAGCATCAATATACAGTACTTTCATCCATAAGGCAGATAAACTAACTTAATGTGATCTAACTTATATAATGCATTTTGATTTAGAAAACAAGACTAACATAAAATACTGTATTTAACTTTTGTTAGGATTAGGTAGTAATTGTTTACCAATGTATATTTAACATTTCCTAAGACTTTTTTATAGCAGCAACTCTACAAAAAAAACTTGCAATGTTTTATAATTCTTTCAATATAAATGAAGTTCTACAAAGTTTTTAAAATGTTTATATATGTTGAACAAATTACAAAATCAGCATGTTTT